TAATTTGAGTTTAGGCAAATCGGTTTTCAATAGAAGAGAATATACATAGCTCAGGGTTGAATGTGGAGTCTTTGGTGCTCTCTGAGCTTGGTTGTTTGTTTGTCATTGATGGTGTTACCTAGTTGGGTAATAAAATGTCTGCAAACAAACAACCAAGCTCCGAGAACACCAAGTATTCCAGAAAACATATTTAAGTTTTCACATGAAAAGTGCAAGACAGCTACTAAAAAGACGGAAAGCATGAAATATATTATACCATTAAGGCAGTGACTAAAACTACTTTTCCAGAAAGAAAAAAAAGCACCAGATCAAAAGACAATCAAACACTAAAATGCCTAATCCCTTATTTAAAAGATGGAATCATAATTAACCAATTAATGTGAAGAAACAAAATAATTTTTCACCCTAATAACTAATGATTTTTTTTAAGGAAATCATACCACAACAAGAACATAATCTCAGGCTTTCCTGAAGCAATGAACTATTACCACTCTTCTGATGCAAGGATTTTTCCTCTTCCTAGGAAGGAAATATTTCAGTATCAAGAGGTCTATTCGAACAACTTAAGTATATTGCTAAATTCTAAAAAATATCCAAGATAGGATATAAAATGTATGCATATCTGTAACCTATTGTAAATTATTAGCATTTACATTCAATTAAAACAGACATAATTTACCTATCTGTAATATTTCTCCAGCCTTAGCTGGATACATTCATTATGTGCTGTTTCAATTCAGCAACTTTTAGTTAACACAATACAATTACAATGAAATAAATACCAATGAACTACACTTTTACCATGGAGATTTGGTCCTCTGCTATTATAAAAAATTAGACTCAGCTTCAAATAGGAGTCATTGCTGGCCTGGAGGCCTGCTGGAAACCAAGCAACTAAATACACTCAATATTTTGCTCTAAACAGAAAAGGATTCTTCTATTATTTCCCTTTAAGCATAATATTTCTGGCTGCATAATTTTAAGGGAACCCACAATTTTTGCTCATGCATTATTTATCTTTTGACACAAAACAGTTACTTCACTGAGAGACTGTAAATTGTAACGTGATTTGAATGAACAATTAAATGACAGGCATGATAAACTAGATTTATAAGCTTCAAATTCTTATGAAAAAAATCTTAATTTAACTCCAAAGAACTAGAATATTCTTCTAAAACAATGCAGATTCATGGAACTGCAGCTCCCCCAACAGTATCTGAGAAGTTAAACAGCATAGAGATTGATCTAATAAATAGCTTGATGTTGCTATGGGTAACCAGATTAATTGCTTTTTTAAAAAACCAATTTTGTTATACATATTTGGAAAAATCTATGTCAATACTGTACTTATTTTTTTCTGCATGGATTGAGAAATTAAGAAGTATCAGACAAATGGAGCATGCCCAACACATTATATTCTTGAAAAGCAATCTTCAACCAAAAAAAGCCAACTTAGATGAAGTACAAAATGTTCTAGTAAAACAGATGAAATAGAGATGTGAAAGAAACAAAAAAACGGCACCACACAGATTAATCATTGAATGAAAACATAGATTGTTTAGAAAACAATTAAGAGAATTTGAAATATGAGTGGCTACAGGAGAAATGAGAATTGTTGAAATATAAGTACATTGCTGATCTGCACAGCTTTAGTGCTTCATGGAATCTCTTTCCCATTCAGGAAATTGGGGTCGTATTTATAAATATTTACTGCTTTTTCAAGGTTAACTTGTTCAGAGAGTTTTAAGCAACAATTCAATATTTGCTCCCAAATTTCCCTTCCACTGAGGCTGATGAGCAGCATCCCAACCTTACCCACAAAGCTGAAGCTAGACTACCCATGCAGCTGAGTTTGGCTTCAGAGACCAGAAAAAGGACATTTGAGATTAGCTATTATGAAAGAGGACAAGCAACCAATTAAATCATTCCAAGTTTCATAGCCATTTGTCACCAAGAAAGGCATACATAATCTTTTCTCCAAACTTCTGAAATAAGAAACAATACTGTAAGTATTCTTAGCAGTAGGAGCTATGATTATGCATTCTTACCTAAGCTCTACTTTGACCAATTGGATCTATTTTCACTTAGAAAGATATTGTAAGGAAGAACTCAACATTACTTTAGCTTGATCTCAGCTGATGGACCAAGCTCCCCTTATTCTGTAATTCTCATAAAACCTAGTATCATCACAGTTCTAAAAAAAACCCTACTGTTACACAGACTAAATGATAAAAACTAAATCTGCAACCCAGCCACGTCTGGCAATAGATCATTATTAGTTTCCAGGTATCAGCATATTTTAACATTTTCAGACCTCAAGATTCACTTTTGTTTATGTGTAATAATTTGATCTTAATGAAAGAGAGATGAAATCATACTGCTGGTATGCTTGAAACGTGCCATCCAAGTGCATGGCCTGTTGAAACGTCTGCTTCTCTACTAATAAGAAATAAGATACAGAACAATTTCACATATGGAAAGATATCTTGCTGCCTTGCTTGCCTCTATTGCCCCTTGCTTCCTCATGCACACATATACATACATGTTCTTTCTTCTCTTACACATGTATGGTTCTCTCATTCATCCTTCTCAGTCATCCCACAGGAGACACGGCCTTTCAAATATCCCATATCACTCTTATGAGGCTAGGTGGACTTTGTTATTGCTATTTTTCAAAAAGGCTAATTTCTTCTTTTCAGTAAAGCACTGCAAACTGAGTTACAGTCTAGATTATTTTCTCTCTATGTTGTGCTATTAACATAAAAAATAATATCTAAAAAACAGATATAACTTACCATGCTACTATGTTTCATAGAATACATAGAGGTGGGATATTTTCCACTGCCACTAAAGTTTACAGAGGTAAATTAAGGCTCCAATATAATGTACAGAAATATCAAACCCAGACATACTTCTCAGTCTCATCTAGCATTCTACCGTAATATTGAATTCAGTTTTCTTTTACAATTCTTTCCCAAATTCCAATGGCTATTTAAATAAGTTCTTGTTTCTAGATTATATAACTTTTTTTCCACAATATTTATATGCTGTCCTAACCCTCCATATTTCTGAATTTTCTTTAACATCTGGATTTGTTAATTAATGTGACATATATACTAAAAAGAGTTAAAGAGTGAGCTGAGAAGGATTAAGTAGCAGAACATAGCAGCTGCAAAAGTTGAAATATGTGCAAAATGTTTTAATGATGTGTGTTTAACTTGAGAATAAAGTGAACATCAATGCCTGGTTGTTATCAACAAACTGTCTAGCCTGGAGAGGGATCCAAGGTGAAAGGACAAAGAAATGGCTTGTTAGAAAAGAAAAATGGCGCAGAATGAGATATTTTATTTAATTCAAATAGTTTCAAAAAGTACTTTCATCAGAATTTTATACTAAGAACAACAGTAAAAGTAAAACATTAGACCATTACAATTGAACAATTAGCAAAGGGAGCAATCCAAAAACATAATTAAATGTTAATCTGCCACATTACACTTTTATTCTGTTACTCTCTATAAAAAACATGATGCAAGTATTTTCAAATTCTTTACGAAAAAGAGCAGTATCCCAAGCAAGTCCATAACATATAGGCTGATATATCAACTGATAGGTATCTTTTTTGTACTATCAAGAAAGTTTACCAGTTTATGTGATAATTATGACAGTCCCTTCCTTCCATATTTATATAGAAAACACGTAAAAGGTTTTCTAAAACTGACATGTCTACCTGTTTACTAAAAAGCAATATGTATATTTTTTTGCATGTGGATATGTGAAAAAGGGTTTGGCTTTATTATGAAACATATAGGCCACTTTAGCTGACTATGTTCAGCAGGTCAGCGGTTCAAATCTCACCGGCTCAAGGTTGACTCAGCCTTCCATCCTTCCGGGGTAGGTAAAATGAGGACCCAGATTGTTGGGGGCAATGTAAATATATATATACATTGCTTACTGGTGTACACCGCTTAGAGAGTACTTGCACTTAAAGCGGTATATAAGTCTCATAAATAAATAAATAAAATATAGATAAGATCGTAAAACTTTCATTCTTCCATGGTGAATGAAAAAAAACCCTCCTGCAAGGAACACTTTTTTGCTGCCTCCTCTTCTTCTTCTTCTTCTGTCATTATCACCATCACCAACATACCATTTAACTATAGTTAATCAGGAATATACTCAGAGCAGCCCAATAGCTGCTGAAGTTCTAGACAGGGCTATGATGGAGACCCAGGAAACTCTTTATCTAATAAATATCTAAAGTATAATTTATATGCTCACAGAATTAATGCTCATGAAATCTACTACTTCAGATTCTATGGTAATTAAAGAAAATCTCCAGAGAAAAATAGACCAAGGTACATATAAATGTAGACCCATTTTCCATCCATGTCTCTGAATTTGGATAAAAAAATTAAACATCTCTCTACACAGAGATTAAAAAGAGGGAAGCTCTTTGTAAGTAAAATTATGCAAGTGGATGCCTGCAAAATTCTGGCTTTCTAATTTTCTTGTGTCAGTTTAAATAACAGACACACTTTACTGTAGCAAAAAGAAATTGCATTCCTTTTGGCTACCAAACAATTGCTTGAAGGTCTGGGAACAGTATAATCTACCTAGAGATGAGATCTCTGGGGATGCAGTTAAAACTTTCTCCCATCCCTGTAATACTGATTGTTTTTATTGTTTCCCAAGCCATTTTAGAGGATATTTCACCCAGATAGCCTTAAAACTACTGCAATGTTACTCTAATATTGACATGCTCTAACAACAAAAGCTCAACAGTAGTCTTACAGTTAAAATCCTTGGAAGAGGTACTGAAATAGACCACCTATTTTTTCATTAAACCAAAAGAATTAAAAAGAGTAGAACGCAGTAAAGGAATTCCACTATGCATTTTAGAAAAGAGCAAATTCCACATTTTAAGGAGAAATACCTACTCTTTTCTCACAACTATCAGAGACCTTAATCTAATGTGCTGTTTAATGTTTATGAATACTTACCAAGGTTTGTATTTGGGCCAGCAAGAAGCTGTTTGAATTTATCTAATCGCAATGCTTCTCTTTCAGGTAATATATGAATACCAGAGGAATTATCGGCAACTCCACCAGTAAGTGCACATGTAGAGGCTTGCGGAAGAGACTGAGATCTTGGCACAGAAGTATTTGCATTAGTGTCATCTAGAAAATATAACAGGGGGAAAAAGGCATAAAGTTGACTAAACCTGAAATGGGGGAAAGAAAAGATATTTTTAAAATATGTATACAGTATTACTATGTATTTTCAATAAACCTTTGGCTACAAATAGCAGTATTTATCACCTTACCTCCAAACCAGGTATAAGAATAAATCTAGCCTGCCATCAACCTCATGTTTGTCAGGAAGCAGATGGGAAAACTAAGGAGTACCATATTGAAATTTCCTTTTGTAAGAAAGGAAGTATTTTACTTATAAAAAAAGAAAGTACAGTACTGCTATTTTATATAATTGCTAGAAACCTATTGTTTCACAATTTTCTCCTACTGAAAATAGTAAGGGTAGATTTTTCCCACTTTTCCTATCAGAGTAATGTTTCTGGAGAACTAAGAGGGATTAATTCCACGTATGTCGGGATAATAAATTCAATATTCACAGTATCGGAATTGAGCTATTAGCCATTTTCCAACTTCGTTTTTGGAAAATCAGCACGACCTTTCAATCGGTGCTCAGGAACAACTGCTGGATTCAGCCAGGGAAGCAAAGGGTAGCAATTGAGTTTGTTAAGTGTAATATACCTGCAGAACTTGATGCATTTGTTTCACTGACAGATTTAATCAGTCTGTTGTCACCACATGCAGCAGAAGGCAATTCTGAATTTTTCTGTGGCTGTTCCCTTTCTATCTGTTCCTCCTGCAATTTGTGCTGCTCTTGTAATTTGCTGTGATTCTGAATTACTCTGTTGGCCGTTTCCATGACTACATCTGTGTTGAGGCTTTCTGTAGCCATTGCTAAAAGTTCATCATCGTCTTCTCCTACATCCCAGGCATCACTCGTGTTGCTTTCAAATTCCTGAAATGTGCTGACTTTCTTTGTTTTTACTGGGGTTGTAGGAGGCTTGGTTCCTTGTTTTAAACTGTTTAAAAAAACAAACAAAAAAGCAGCTTTTACTAATACTTGCATTACTATAAAATTTAATTAACGAAAAATTCAATCTGACTAAAGATGAAAAGGCAAGCAGATTAGGATGTCATTTTGAGAATAACAGAATAACAAAAGTTGGAAGGGACCTAGGAGGGCTTTTAATCCAACCCCTTTGCACCATTCTGGATAAAATAGCTGTCCAGAATTTCCATGTTGTTTCATTTACTCCACTGTAGCTATTAAAATAAAACAAGCCAAAAGAGAAAAAGGAGAGACAAATCTCAATTAACAATTATAAGTAATAATTCTGTATAGGTGTTAACACTGCAGCATAACATCTTCCACAAGAACACATGGTCTTCATATATTTTGCTTATATTCACTGTGAATAACCATGGTGCAACCTAAACTTCTCTGTCGTGCCACTTGAAAATATCGCAAAGAGTGTCAATCTGTTATATTATACAGACTTAGATTGTTCCAGTATAATGTTGGACTTCACAGACATGAGATGTAAATTAAAAATCACAATACGAAAAAGTTATATCAAAAGACTTTGTTTTTTTGAAAACATTTGACATATTATAATTTACATGCATAAAATACTATATACTGTATATGCTCAGAGTTAGTACAATCTATATACTACTAAAATTCACATTGTCATGAACTTTTAAACAAGTGAAACAATGTATCATAGGGCAAAAAATTTTGAATAAAGTTATCTCAAATGGGTTAACCTTTCCTGATTCATGCAGCATTATAGGCACCGTCCCCAACTCACTCTTGTCCTGCACGCTTTCCCCAACTCATGCAGCATCTCTTGGGCACACACACAAATCTTTCCAACCCATGCCACCCACCTCACGTATTGTCCCTGACCTGCACAGGACTTCTTGCACAATCCCAAGCATCCCAGGTATCCATCTCAACTCAGGCCATCCTCCCTGCACCATTCCCAACCAGTGGGGGACTTCTCACATACCTGTGACACCCATACATTATTTTTGAGTTGCAGTGTCCCCCCATGACTCACACGGCACCTCTTATACTCCACGTGAACTCTACACACTCTTGACTCATGCTATCCCATTGTGCACCCTATCTGGCCAGCATAGTATCTCTCATAGATCAGAAGGATGCCTGGGATACATGTCACCCACATCCTGATCTGTTGGAATATTCATGAACAGGAAGAGTCATGTGATAACTCAGTCAGCCAATGTGAAGAAAGTGCTAGTGAGTCTGTGCAAAAGAGTATTGAGTTAGGAGCTGGATTTCCAGTCTCAAGGTTTGTCTCTGGTCTGTCTCTGTAAGAAGTCTTCATTAAGCTATGTTGCAGTAAAGAAGAATGGTATTGTAAATATTTTATATAAATATAAATTTATTTGAATCAGCTAAATGCAGTCAACTGTAAGAGCTTCTGATTTATTTTTCACCAATTAGAGAAATTAAAATTCTCTAACAGGTTATGGGCCCAGAGCTTATTAAGGACTGCATTGTAATTTAAAGCTGGAAGAAATTGCCTCGGTTTAGAAAGTATAAGAACAAGGCAGAATTAGCAGAATGGCTGCAATGGAATTTAAGGAAAGCTGTGTGCCTCGTTTGGGCCAGAAGAATTACATTGTGTGGGCTGCTAAAATGGAATGTTTGCTGAAAGCAAAAGAGCTGTGGTATATTGCTGAAAATCCACCACAAGTATTTGCAGCTGCAGATCAGAAAAGCCATGATCAAGCAATGACTTATCTCATCTTGAATTTAGATGATACACAATTTCTAAATGTTGCAAATTTAAAGACTGCAAAGGAGATACGGTTGAAATTGAGAGCTATGCACGTGAATGTTTCTGCTTGCAACATAGTGCAATTGTCAAGAAAACTTTACAGGGCCTGTTTGCAACCAGGTGAATCTGTGGAATAGCATTTAAATAAAATGCAAAGTTTATTTTTGGACTTAGAACAACGTGGGATTAAATTCCCTGAGTCCCAGAAAGTTTTATTGGTGTTGAACTGTTTAGATAAAACCTGGGACACAGTTTCTGCAATATTTGAGTGCAAAGAAGAGCAAGACTTAAATTTTGAGGCTTTAAAGGCATGTTTGCTTAATGAAGAAGAAAAACGCCATTTTAGAAGCAGCCACGAGGAGGAGAAATTCCTGAGGAGGGGGTCCAGACTGCAAGTCTCCAGAGAAGAAACAAGCAGATCAGATCTGGACCAAATTGCAACAAAGGAGAGATTTTGCAAGCAGAGAGCAAGCAGAGAGCGGGAAAAGACTTGCTACATTTGTGGAGAAAAGACACATTTGCAAAGGAACTGTTTACAGAGAAACTGTTTGCAGCAAAGGACATTTGTGCAATCAAAAAGGACTGCTTTGCAAAAGGAACATTTTGGTGTTGCAAAAGTTTGCTATAGCAACAACAGAGACAAGTGGCTAATAGATAGTGGGGCAAGTCAAACAATTGTTAATGACTCTAAATTATTTTGCAGGTTTGTTCCAGTAGCACTAGAAGCTGTGGCTTTAGCAAATGGCCAGAAAGCAAAAGTCATTGGAAGAGGCGATGTAAAAATTCCATATTTGGAATCAAAGTTTACCAATGTGCTTTGTGTACCTGAGATGGAACATAATTTGTTAAGTGTGTCTCATTTAGACAAACAAGGTTTTGAGGTCATTTTTGTAAATGGGAAATGTCTCATCAAAAGGAATGGGAATATTTGTGCAGAAGGCATAAAGGAAGATAATCTACATGTATTGCAGGCACAAAAGGTTCAATGTTCCCATATATTTAAGAATGTTGCAGAGCATGATTCATGTGTTCATCTTCTGCATATAAGACTTGGCTATGCAAGCTTTAAAGTTTTGCAGCAAATGCAAGATTTTGCAGAAGGGCTAAATTTGAAGAGATGCAAAACATATTTGGACTGTGCAGTATGCAAAGCATCAAAGTCAAAGGCATTCCCAGTTAGTAAATGTAGCACAAGACAAACAAAAAGAGTTCTAGAACTGGTCCATGCAGATCTGGTGGGACCTATGCAAGCCAGTTTGGGAGGAGCAAAATATGCACTGGTAATTGTTGATGATTATAGCAGGTATTCGTTTTGCTACTTGCTTAGAGCAAAGACAGAGGTGCTACAACAATTCAAACAGTGGGTAAGTTTTGTAGAGAAAAGGTACAGACAACAAGTGTGTCAGTTGCAAACTGACAGAGGTACTGAATTTATGTCAACTAAATTCCAACAATGGTTGGGGCAGTTGGGGATAAGACACAGATGTACAAATCCTTACACAGCAGCAGAGAATGGTGTAGCTGAAAGAAGGAATGGTGTTTTGCAAACAATGAAAGATTCATTGTTAAGAGGATTCTGGTATGAGCAGGTCATATTGGGGAGAAGCCATATTGACTGCAAATTATATAGTTAACAGGCTGTGGAGTTCCTCCATTAATAATACTCCATATGCCATTCTATATGGGAGAAAGCCATCACTGGCACATTTGAAAATTTTTGGAAGTACTGCATGGGTACATATTCCGAAAGCAATCAGAAGAAAGGGACAGCAAAAGGCAAGAAAGCTCAGGTTTGTGGGCTATGAGCCAGGGTCAAAAGGATATCGCTTTAGCGATGGAAGTAAAAGAATTATAATTTCAAGGTCTGCTAATTTTGCAGAACAAAATTGGGACAGAATTAATGCAAATTCTGGGTATGTCACACTTAATGATGGTGATCTGTTTAGTGACAATAACTCATCTAATGATGAAAAATGAGTATAGAAGATGTCAATGTTCAGGGAGGAGAGGCTGAACAAGACATGAAACCAGAAAGACTTGAGACACAAGAGCAGTTAATACCTCATAGGTCAGAGCGATGTAATAAAGAAATTCCGCCTGACAGGTATTCTGCCAGCAAGGTAAAGGTTTGCAATGTGTGGTATGAGCCAAGAAGTTATAAAGAAGTGTTGGCATTACCAAAAGCTGAACAGGAAAAATGGAAGGAGGCCATGGATAAAGAGATGAAATCCATGGGAGACCATGAAGTATTTAAATCAGTGACTTTGCCACAGGGAACCAAAGCTATGGGTTGTAAGTGGGTATATAAGAAAAAGGTATTGCCAAATGATGATGTACAGTATAAGGCCAGGTTAGTGGCACAAAGTTTTTCACAATTAATGTATTAAGTCAATAGGTCTGATGTCTCTTCCTGTCATGAAGGGAGGAGTGTTGGAATATTCATGAACAGGAAGAGTCATGTGGTAACTCAGTCAGCCAATGTAAAGAAAGTGCTACTGAGTCTGTGCAAAAGAGTATTGAGTTAGGAGCTGGATTTCCAGTCTCAAGGTTTGTCTCTGGTCTGTCTCTGTAAGAAGTCTTCATTAAGCTATGTTGCTGTAAAGAAGAATGGTATTGTAAATATTTTTATATAAATATAAAGTTATTTGAATCAACTAAATGCAGTCAACTGTAAGAGCTTCTGATTTATTTTTCACCAATTAGAGAAATTAAAATTCTCTAACATGATCCAAATGACATCTATAACTTGCTGCACTTGCACCTCTGCACCCACCCAGCAGCAACCACGTACCTGTAAGAACCGTGGTGGCACAGTGGTTAGAATGCAGTATGGCAGTCTAATTCTGCTGACTGCCGACTGCCAGGAGTTCAGCAATTTGATTCTCACCAGCTCAGAGTTGACTCAGCCTTCCATCCTTCTGAGGTTAATAAAATGAGGACCCAGATAGTTGGAGGCAACATACTGACTCTATAATCCACTTAGAGAGGGCTATAAAGCACTGTGAAGTGGTATATAAGTCTAAGTGCTATTGCTATTACTTGCTTGCTGCAACCTCCTGCTGGCTTTCCCACTGACTTTCTCCCTGCAAACTTCCAGAACTAAAGTAAATGGTGAAACTGGCAGGAATTCAAGAGAGGGAGGGAGGACAATTTCTGGATACTCCCTGCCAGCTTCCCAAAAGGAAAGTTAATGGAGAAGATGGCAGGAA